TGCCAGCAGTCCAGTACTTAGCCTACAGCACCACAATAACATTTTGTTGCTGTGTTTGTTAAGTGCCACCAAGTCGGTTCTGACTCACAGTGACCCTGTACACTGTTTCCAAGGAGTGGCTGGTGGGTTTGAACCACCAACCTCGTGGTTAGTAGTCCAGTACTTATCCTACAGCACCACAGCAGAACTCCACTTTAGTGTGTAACAGTAAAGGTATGTAGATGTGAAGAGCCTAAAAGGACTGCGCACACAGAATAAATATTAAATATCCCTGGAGGGTTTATGCTGTTGTTAAATGCTGTCAAGTTGGTTCAATTCACAGAGACCCTGTATAGGATTTCCAAGGAGCAGTTGATGGGTTTGAACTTCAACCTTGTGGCTAGCAGTCCAGTGCTTATCCAACAGCCCTACACCAAGTATGCTATATTGTAATTCTTAATATACAGGAATAAAAATGTAAGGCAATACATTCAAAGTAGAATCCTTTCATTCTTTCCAAATACATAATCCGACAATTCAGCATTTAAGAGCTGTATATATATATATAAACAGCCTCCTGTGGAATAAATATTCTTACTATTTTATGTATGTAAATGTGTGTGAGAAAGCAGTTAAAAATCATTAGTCAAGTATGCAGCAGGGAATGGTTAATGGAATATTCCAGACATAGGCAATGAGGAAAAAATGTAACAAAAATGGAATGATTTAGCTACTGAGTGTTGAAACTACCTTGAAACAACAACACTAAGAAAGCTGGGAGGGAAAACTGAAAAGGCCCTTTTAATTTATTGCTTGTAAATATGTCCTTCCCAAGCACCTACAGAGTTAGGTAGAAAGAACTAGAAGTTTACTAGCTAATTTGAACAGTACAGGCAGTGAGAACACATAATTCATGATCAAATACGGATACATTTTTGGCTCAAATGTTCCAATTTGCACTGTTAGACAAGACAAATTACCCGCCCTTGCAAATATCCACTTCAGTATGTGATACATGGCCAGAGTTTGGAAAAATGATAGTATTTCTAGATGAAAAATTAAATCAGAGGAGTAATAAAATATTAATACAAAGCTAACTACTCAAGTTGCAAACCAGGTGTATATATATACTGAAAGCCATGTTGGAAATAATGGCATAAAAAGTACAAAATAGAGACCATTATAGTAATGTGCGTGTATGTTTATCCCTTCAGATGCTGCAATACTATGAAAGGCACTCCACTTTAACAGCTTCCCTAAGATAATTTGTTTTACATGGTAGTCTTGATTTTATAGCTCACCATAAAATATATTTCCATAGTGTGCTTTTCAAATAAGCAGTATAACTTCAAAATTAATTGGGTACCAGTAATACATGTCTACCTAGGGAATAAAATACAGTCAATGCAAGGACTAGGATAAAAGTAAATGTAAAAATTTATAATTTTGAGGTTCTCAGATTTTTCTACCATACTAATGAAGATATCTGATGTGAACTAATTATAAGCAACTTAAATTACAAAAACATCATATTACTGATAACATATTTTAATTGGTCTTTAGTACTGAGTATATACTTCTATTTTATGATAATAACATAATTTGAAGTTACTTAATTTATATGCTGCTGAATACATCTAATTTCCCTTTTAAAATACTCAATGGTCTAATATCAAATAAACTTTTAATTATAAGTTATAAACATCAAGCCTGACAAGTAATGTAATTATAACTCATTTGTCCACCATTATTTATAACATGGCATTTCATGTTTTTCTTAAGTATGATGTTACTCCAAGGATATGCAACCAATGGAAAGATACCTCAACTGATTACAATTATTCTTCTTAATAAATTATATATAAATAAGCACTTAAAACATGTAATACTAATTTCTCATTGAATTGCAAAGTTAATAAATGAAAAAATGTAATCTTACAGGGAAAAGAAAAAAATCCCAAAAATACACAATGAAAAAAAAACGGATACAAAGAAGGAGTCATTACAAATTCTAGAACTTGCTTAAATTAAGTTGGCACTTCTGTTGGTCTTACTTTTGAATTTTGATTTGCAGCTCTTTAATCTTTAAGGAGTTCTGGTGTGGCGCTGTGGGTTAATGCACCAGAATGCAAAGCTGTTTGAACTGCAAGGTCAGTGGTTCAAGCTCACCAGCTGCTCCTTGGAAACCCTATACAGAGTCACTATGGGTCAGAATCGACTTGACGGCACTTAACAACAACAACAATCTCTCTAACAGCAAACCTACACACCAAGGCAGGGCTTCTGCACCTCTTTTTGGCTGTCCTTTGAGCAGGCTCTGACTATAGGTGTACCGGAGCAGGTATTAGCAATGACATGATCTCACTGCATTATCATTCTGTTGGGTACAGCACAAGGGAAACTATGTAGCTGTGCCAGTGAGGGGTTGGATAACACATGATAAATATGCTTCCGGTTTCATGGTTTGTGTTGTTGCTAAACGCTGTAAGTCGGTTCTGACTCACAGTAGTCCGGTGTCTATCCTACAGTGCCACAACAGGACTCCCTCAGCTTTATACAGTTGGTAATAAACATTGGTGGGTGTCAGAAGTAGAGCAGCTATTAGCAGAAGACAGTGGTGCTAAGTTAACACATTCAGAATGAGTATTCTTCATCTTCCTGTGAAGTTTTATTGTTTCTTCTCAAGGCTTAGCCTTCACATAGGTGGAAAAGGTAAAGATTCTCAAGTGGTGGTAAGGACAGTTTCTTCATAATACATTCCTACTAGTTACTACTTCCCGCCTGACAGTAGTTCTTTGGGGTTAGGCAAGAAAGACGGTACTGTGCACATGGGAAGAGGAGAGGACCGTGCCATTAATAAAACTACGGTTGTTGTTGTTGTTAAGGGCTGTTGAGTCAAGTCTGACTCATAGCCACCCTTTATAGGGTTTCTGAGGAGCAGCTCATGGGTCTGAACCCAACCTGTGTCTAGCAGTCCAGCGCTGATCCTACAGCGTCATACCAGGAGATACTAATTAATTTATCAGAGCCCTGCTGTAGTGCTGCAGGATAAGCACTGGACCTGCCGCTTCTTAGAAACCCCAGAGAGGGTCTCTATGAGTTGGAATCTACTCAATGGCATACAACAATTAATTGATCGGATTTATCTGTTTATGCTATAGAAGAATTAACAGCTGAGTCCTCCTGGGATGGGTTTGTTGAAAGATGGGAGACGTTACTAGGTACTGAAGACAATGTTCACTTTACAGCTTGCCTCTAAATCTAAGGGTCGGAAATTCAAACCCACCCAGCAGTTCCATAGGAAAAGATCTGACAACCAATTCAGTAAAGATTACAGCCAAGAAAGCCCTATAGGGCAATTGTACTCTGTCATGAGGAGTCATTATGAGTCAGAAGTCAACTTGATGGCACTCAACACCAACGCAGCGTGATATTATTAAGGGTTGTTGTTGTTGTTGTTAAGTGCCATCGAGTCGGGTCCGACCCATAGCGACCCTGTACAGGGTTTCCGAGGGTGTAAATCTTTACGGGAGTAGAAAGCCTCATCTTTCTCCCGCGGAGCGGCTGGTAGTTTCGAACCGCTGACCTTAAGGTTCGCAGCCCAATTTGTAACAGCAGGAACTAAGATTCTGGCATCAAATGTGCTCCTTATGTACTTGAACAACATGGTTTACAGCAGGTTTGTGTTTGGTATGAATCAAATTTCATTACACTTACAAACTAAGATATTGTGAAAAAAGGCTCCTCAATGCAGTTTGTTGATGATACTAGTTTAAAGACGCAAAATCACTGTTACTGCCCGAAGAAGCCGACTGTATTCTCAACTGGCTTTGAAGGAGAAATTTAAGCTGTTGGACTCTCTACTTTCCACTTTTCAAAGGATTGATCAGTTAAAAGTTATTTTTTAAAGTTTTGTAAGCAAACCTAAAAATGATTTTCTATTTTTCTATATGTTTTTATACCGAAATGATTTGTATAATTTCACTAGGCCATAATATTACTGTAATTTGATTTTTAAATAATGATTTTTCCCAGAAAATAGGAATGTCCATCATTAGAGAATAAGGCTAAAGAAATTGCAAACATAAATTCATATCAAATGGGAAAAAGCATTATCATAATGCATTAGGTTCTAATAATGTTTCAGAATTACATTTTATTTTTAACAAGTTTTAAAAATAATTTTAATGAATTTAACAAATTTATAAAATATATTTGTATTCTAAATAATTACAAAACAGACAACCTTCTATAAGACAAGTCCCAACACTAATCCATAATTCATTATCTAAACTTTAATTGGCACAACTTTTGTAATTCTGATACTATATGGAAAATAATGAGTCCTAATAGGTCTAAGGTTAAAAGATGGCAGGGGAGCAAGGAAGCTAGAAAACGAACAATTCAGAAAGTTTAGCAACTGCAATACAACGTCCCCAGAGATCCAGACCACTGTGCTCTTAAAATTTACTGATCTTGCAATCATATAACTCAGGGGTGGGAGACTTTGTTCCTGCCAAAATTTTAAGATCATTCATGGGCCGTACCAAATCATCAACTTAAAAATTAACCTGCTATATTTGGTCAAACATTTAATTAATTCATTCCTAATGTGATGGCTGGAACTGTGGTTGCCTTACCAGGGCTACACCAAATGATTTCGCAGGCCTTAAATGGTTCACAGGCCAGACATTCCCCACCCCTGATATAAATGAACTGCATATTACTTGACATTCTGTTAGATAAAAATTAAAATGAAAAAATAAAACAAAACAAAAACAGCCTCAAAACTGGTTTCTGTAATTAAAAGTGCAACTGGCTAACTGTTAATAAAAAGGCAGCAATTTCGAGTTACCATAACAACCTGCTGCAACTGTTGAATGACATTGCAATCTGTCACATTTTTATAAATAGCAGTAGTTTCCAACCCCCTCCCCACTTCATTTCAACTGGTTTTCATGCTCGCTGGTGCTAATGGAACAACTGAGCTTTAAAATGACTTCACTCATCAAGCAGTGTACCTCTTCGCTGCTGTCATCGCTGTAAAAATCATCTTCGGAATGGGCACCTCTGGGCATTCCACTGTTCTCCTCTTTTAGATCTAAAATAAATGGGCACTCTTCTGGGGACATACTCTGATGAGTCTTCCCATGAGGTGCTGACCGTGGTCTGGATGAAAAAGTGAAAATGTCCTTGGGAACAATCTGGCTTTCCCCTGCTTGGTGGTGATGCTCGCTTTCCTTGCTAACTTCTGACCACTGGTGTGAAATGTTGCAGGAGTCCTCATCCAGTTGTAAAGACTGTCTGCTAGATTCCAAATGGGGAATGTGATCAAAATTTTCAGGAAATATCCACTCATCTGACATTTAGAAAAGATGACAAAAATTAGAGTAGCATTCCATAAAAGTGTTAAGTAGGCAGGAGGTCAGGTTAACATTTTTTGCTGTTGAAACAAAGACTTATCAGATAATGCAAAATCCATGAGAGACAATTTATCCACCATCTTGTACCTTGCTAAACATTTAACACTTAAGATTGGTGCTTACAGCTACAGGCAATTCACTTGCACTTCTTTCTCATCTGAATAGAATTTATATACTGGACAGGAATTTATAAGACTGAAATAATTATCACCTGGCCTGCAGCAAGTTCTTTATAGCACTGTCTCATGAATCACACATCCCAGAAGGGAAACGATTCCAAATTTGAGCTACTAATATCTCTTTTTAACTACAGAAGAACCAAGCACTTAACACTCTCTCCATTCTACTGATTGAAATAGAACCATTTATAGATCTTTATGGAATCCTGGTGTGGCAGTGTGTGTTAATGTCCTGGAGTGCAAGGTTGGTTCAAACTGCAAGGCCAGTGGTTCAAGCTCACCAGCTAGCTACTCCTCTGAAATTCTATACAGGGTCACTATGAGTCAAAACTGACTTGACAGCACTTAACAACAATAACAACAACATAGAACTTAATGTTTAATTTTATGAGAGAATGCTTTAACATTATTTCTTTTTTTTCATATAACATTATTTATTTTCTTTAAAAATATAGCACGTTCCTTCCAGGATAGATTTTTAACAAAATATTTATAATTTTATATAACATTAAGATTTCATTTTATAACTCTGTGATCCAGGCAAACTGAAAAGAGTAAATCTTTATAATTAATATTAAAGATATGTATACTTTCTTCTTTAAGGAGCTCTGGTAGCGTAGTGGTTACGAATCGGGCTGCGAACCTTAAGGTCAGCGGTTCGAAACTACCAGCTGCTCCGCGGGAGAAAGATGAGGCTTTCTACTCCCGTAAAGATTTACACCCTCGGAAACCCTGTACAGGGTCGCTATGGGTCGGACCCGACTAGACGGCACTTAACAACAACAACAACAACAAAAATAACATAAATGTATATTTCTTAAAGAAAGTCTACTAGGAACAAAGTATTTTCTGATTTTCAGGGACAGAGTCTGTAGGTAAACACGGAGGGCAGGATGAAGCTACTTCATCTGATCACTTCTTCAGGGTATTGCAAATGATTTTGCTTCAGGGTAGCTATGTGCCAGTGACATAAATAGACTCACTGAGGCACAGTCCGGATTGCTGTCTTATTTTGGGCCTTATCCATGTTGTTCTGTAAACACAGTAGGTGCTCTACAAATGTTGAAAATAATTCCCAATATACAACATACCCAATGTGTTACGTTATAGATATTGGTAAGTACACAAAATTGGAAAGTGACATACATTATGCAGCTAAACAACTTGTATGACCTATTGCCGAACACATTATTAACTGTCAAAAAGTCATAGTAAAAAGACTGTTTTACACCAAACTAAGTCTAATTATCTCACCACCACATGCTTTTTTCTAAAATTTGTAGTTTTACCTTAAGTATTTCCATATCAATTGTAATGAATAATTTGGTGTGTTTTCTTAGGAAAATATGTAAATTACTGTGTAATCACAATATTGCAGCAAACAAGATAAATGCAAGAATGATCACCTAAACATCTAATTAGTTTTTCTACACAGTCAGATTTATGCTAGAGACACTAATTGCGCCTAACATTTTAATGAAGGTTTCAACACTGCATAAATAAGACTGACAAACTACAAACAATTTTCATTTATTTTCCTTTTTCCCTTGCTCAAAAACAATTTGCCTTTGTACAAGTACCACACACCTGCTAGGAAAGATATGGTGATGGGCTGAGGGCTGTACACTCCAACCATCCCACTGTAAAGAGGACTGGAGAAATGTAACAATAGATAATCGTTGGGCACGGTGACACTGTCATGTGAGACTTAAAAGTTTAAAAATTTCATCCAGAACAGGACAACTGGTGCTTTACAAGTTGAGAATAAGAATACTCTTTCATCCATTAAAGTTTGAAATAAAATTGAGGTTAAAAGGAGAATGATATATTTTAACAAGTGACAGAATTCCAACTTTCCACAATGACAGGGGTTGAGAGACTTAATGTGTTTATATTCTATTAATTATGAACAAGATGCCAACCTGCTTGAACAGGAGACTGGGGTCCTGAAGTTCTGGGGTTCCATGTCTCTTCTCTTTCTTGGGATGCACAGGTGAAGACAGCTGTTGCTTTATCTTCATTTCTGTCATTGCCTGAAGAATTGCCTTTTTCAGAATAAATATTTCCCATGAAACTTTTTTTCAATATTTATAAAAGCAATTAATTTTCAAAATATAGAAATAATTTGATATATTTTTCAACGTGATTAGTTAAAAGCAAGCTGTTGTTGTGTGCCATAAAGTTGGTTCCAACTCATAGTGACCCTGTATAGAGTTTGCAAGAGCGGCTGACAGGTTTGAACTGCCAACCTTGCAGTTACCAGTCCAGTGTTTATCCTGAAGCAGCACCATGACTTTAAAAAAGCACGTCAGAGGTAATGCTATGGAGTCTGTACATTATTTTATCCCTTTTTACTAGCATGCTCTAAAGAGGACCTTTACAGCATTTTTTGTCAGGATTTATAATTCTTTGATATTTGCAAAGGAACATTTTTACTTTAAGAATGTGGTGCTGTAGGATAACCAATGGACTGCTAACCACAAGGTTGGTGGTTCAAACCCACCAGCTGCTCCTTGGAAATCCTACACAGGGTCGCTTTAAGTCAGAATAGACTCAAAGGAATTTAACAGCAACAACAATATACAGCTGAAGGAAATCTAAAAACCACGTAAGTGTTAAGACCCATATAAGGGTCTTATATTTTTTTCCCTTTGGTTTCACATAAAACTTATTTAAGTTACAGTTCTTACACTAAACTATATCTCTATAACAAAGGTTTTTGAAGCAAACAAGATAAATGCAAGAATGATCACCTAAACACCTAATTCATTTTTCTACACAGATTTATGCTAAATAAATGGATTCAGGCATTATTATAGAATTAAATTTTTTATCACAATTTTTTAAAAACTATATCAAATCTAGCAGGCAAAATTTCAGCCTAGTCAAGAACCTCTACTTTTGAGAAATTATGCTAACAGATATGTGTATATATATATATATATATATATATATATACAAAACTATACATAGATGCTTTAAGACCAGTATTTTCAGGAATGATTATAGTAGTCACATATTTATTTAATGCTTTACTGGTAGCAAAGAGTTTAAAACTTAACCTATATTATATCAGAAGACAAACAGTCCAGAGGACATAAATGAAAAAGGAAAAACTCAAATAGTCAAGTTCAATGGTAGTAAAGTTTGCAGGTCAGAATTTACTCTGTCACATTTGGGTTATCATTATTTTTTAAAATAAATTTGATTTGGGTGAAAGTTACAGAGCACATTAATTTTCCATTCAACAATTCATACAAATTTTATTTTGTGGCATTGATTGGAATCTTTACAAATATAATAGCACTCTTCCCACTTCTTCCCAATATTTACGGCTGCCCTTGGTTCTTCTTTTCTATTCCATCTTGCCTTCAGAGACTTGTCTCTGAGCAAATGCTGACCTTTTTATTTTGTATGGTTGATTATTCCAATGAGTGCATACCTCCCCTCATTGTTACTATTCACCCTGTAAGTCTTCCTATCATTTGGCTGGAATTGAGCTGGGCGTGAGTTCAAGTCCAAGTTTGAGGGCTGTCAAAGGGCCATTGCCTTAGGGGTTCCACCAGTGTCTATCAGACCAGTAAGCCTGCTCTTTTTCATTTTCATGAGTCTCTTGATCCACAGTTTCCTCTTACTTTATCCAAGAGCTCCTATTGTAATTTCTTTCAGAGTAGGTCAGTAGTGGTAGCTTGGCATCATCTAGTTCTTCTGGTCTCAGTGTCATGGAGGCTGGGGTTCCATTGGTCCATTGATCCTTTTGAGTGTTTCCTTGAATCTTTAATTTTCTTCACGTTTCTTTGTTTCAGATGGGGATAGACCAATAGTTATACCTGAGATGACCTCTCATGAGTTTTTAGGATCACAGTTGTTACATACCAAAGTAGGAAGTGAAACATCGCCTTTGCAAGCTGTTGTTGTTGTTAGGGGCTGTCTAGTGTACTCCGATTCATAGAGCCCCTATGAACAACAGAATGAAACACTGCCTGGTCCTATGTCATCCTCACAATTATTGTTGCAGCCACTGTGTCAACCCACTTCATTGAAGTCTTTCTCTTTTTCATTGACCCTCTATTTTATGAAACATGGTGTCCTTTTCCAGGGACTAGTTCCTCCTTACAATATGTCCAAAGTACATGGGATCTAGTCTCATCATTGTTACTTCCAAAAGCATTCTTGCTATATCTCTTTCAAGACAGATTTGTTATTCTGGCAGTTCACAGTACTTTCAGTATTTTTGCCAACACCAAAATTCAAATGTATCAATTCTTTGTGGACTATATTATGCCAACAGACCTTGGTGTCCCTAAGATTATGGTCCTGAGCCTCTATGCATTTGAGCCATTAAAAAACAAACAACAACAACAAAAACTTCATAATATAAACTTATTTGCGTTAGAGAGTAAAAGTGGGAAGTTCTTTTATTTCTATAGTAAAATCAAACAAACAAGAAGACTAAAACCCATTGCCTTTGAGTCAGCTTTGACTCACAGTGACCCTAGAGGACAACAGAACTCCCCTATATGGTTTTCAGCCTATAAATCTTTACAAAAACAGACTGTCAACATCTTTATACCATGGAGTGGCTAGTAGTCAAGTATTAAACTGCAGTAACATCAGGGCTATTTGTTTCTATGGTTGCTGTTGTTGGTAAGCGCCATCATATCAGTTCTGACTCATAGTCACCCTGTACAGGGTTTCTGAGGAGTGCCTGGTGGGTTTGAATCGCCTACCTTGCAGGTGGTAGTCCAGTACTTAGCCTACAGTGCCACATCAATACTCCTTTTCTATGGCACTATTTAATCTGGCAAATCTCTGCTAGGTCTGCAGAGGAATTTTTTCTGCAGAAAATTTGATTTTCATAATCCCTGTAGAACATTTATATTTTAAATGAATTGGTTCATAATCTGGAACTTACAACCTGCAGAGATTGATTCTATTGCCCTGAAAAATACACAGATATAAGACAGCATTGAATTCGTGCCATACCGCTGGGGGTCTCTGTCCTTTCCCTGCTGGCGCTTCTTAACTGTAATCTTCTTCTGTTCTGAGTCTTATCTACAGATGGTTCTTGAGGAGGATGTGGATGCATAATCTGGAGACTGGCTGGTCCATTTTCATATCAAAGAACAAAAAGCCAAAATAAAAGCAATATATGTTTTCAAATAACTAAATAAATAAGATTACTGCTATCACAAGAATATTCATGTGTCATTTTGATATAAAAACATAAAACTGTATCACAAACACAAGATTTTTCTTCACAGAGAATAGAAATTGGATTTATATTAATTGGATAATAAGCTATGTTAAAAATGTAAATAATAATATTCACAGTAGTAGTATTTATTGACTGTTTAATAGCTCAGCACAATGCCAGGTGCAGACCATGACTCCTTGTGAGGAAGCAGACTGACTAAATGAGGGTGCTGTTATAAACTACTAGTGCTACCAGCAATCACAACCCCATTTTACAGATCAGAAAACTAAGGCTCATAGAATTTAAGAAAATCCAGGCCTCACAAATAGCCATACAACTGGGACTGGATATTTTACGTTATTAACTTCCTTATGTCAGTTATACTCCAAAGGGAGTATTATCTGTAATAATGATCATCAGTTTCTAAATCAAATCAAATGAACTCAAATGCCCCTACTGTCTACTCTCACCTGAGTTGGCTAATAGAAAAACAGGTAGGGAGTGGTAAGGCTTGGGTTCTTATATCAATCTATCCAATGATTACATACCACACATTATTTTCTTAGCCTTGAAACTCTAATCTGAAAAATGGGGCAAAAATCCTTTCCTAACTCACAGGGTTATTTTGCATATCAAATGATAAAACTCATAGGGTTATTTTGCATATCAAATGATAAACTTTATAAATGAAATGATTTAACTAAAATATAAAATTAAGAAAACTTAAAATGCCATGGAGTTCAAAATATATCAAAAATGGAGGGATTTTTCCATCAAAAAGTAAAAACACAACATGCTTTATCACTTTGAGATTAATGAAAAATAAAAAGATAGGTCACAGAAAATAATGTATTCCGTGGTTATTCTATGGATTTAAGACCTAATCATGTCTCTAGCTTGTGATGTATCGTACTTAGAACATTTCTCACAATATTTACTAGCTATCAGTCTTTATGCCTTACTCTCTCTTACCATGAATAGGCCCAGTCTGCTTTACATGGTGAATGTTTTCTTTATCTCTGTGCTCCTCAGACTCAGATATCAATAAAGTTGACATGTCTGCACAGCTAACACACTTCTCTACAGTGGACTGTAGGCAGGATCTGTTATTTTTGGACCCAATGGATCTTATTGTCTATAAGGAAAAAGTAATTTGTACATTTTAAAACAGAAAAAACTACCTTTATTTTCTGTAAAGAAATTTAATTTACACAAGAAAAATAATCATCGGACAAATAAAGGGTGGCGGGGGGGCCCTAAAGATAATGAAAAGGTTAAAAAGTGAAGGAGATGACAATTATGGTAGAAAATGAAAAAGAAATGGAAGGAGAAAAACAACATGAGATCAACTAGAAAACAAGCAATTCTCTGAGACAATACCAGTCAAAATGGTTGCTCATTTGCTAGACTCTACCATTAGTAGGCTGAATGAAAGAGGAAGCTTTGGCTCCTGTCAAAATGTATCACCTCAGAAACCCTACACTAAGTTAATTGTGAGTCATAATTAACTCAGTGGCAATGGGTAGCTGGTTAACCATTAGTGGGAGGAAGTTAAAATTAAAATTAAAAACTACTGCTGTGTGTCAGAAATTCAAAGGAAATTAAAAACAAAACATGTAACACTTGAGAATCTGTTCGTGGAAAAGTGTCTTGTGATGATACAAATCTATTTTAAAGGAAGGAGTAAAATGCACTCATAAATTTTGTGAACATATTTAATAAAAACTATACTCTAAAATGTTATGTTGACATTGCAAAAAGGAAAAACCATCACAAGGTCTTTTAAAATCCAGTTTTTCTGTTCCAAATTGTTCACACCTTCTGCTTTTCACATGTAGATTCTTGTTCTTTCTTTTCTTCCTATACTGGAAAAACTCCCCCAATCTTCCCCACTCTGCCCCTCATGTTCAGATAAGGCATTCAAACCTTCCTCCTACCTACCTCACTGGATATCCTCATGTTATTCCTTCTGCCAGACAGTGGCGGTGGTCCCAGAACTTTGGATCCAAAGGCAATATGACAAACATCTTGACTTCTATTGCTTCGCACACTGCTTGCTCCTCGGTTAATGAATTGATCTATTATGTAAAAGAGAAGTGAAAACCATCCACTAGTAGGCATAATGACAAACACTATGTTGCAATATATTTTCAAAGTACAATCCAAGGGACATATGATCTGAATAGCACTGGGACACATTAAAAATGTAGATACTGGGGACCATATTAAATTTATCAAATTAGAATCTTAAGGTTCAGGAGGAAGGGCGAATATCTAGATTTTTGGAAAGGTCTCTCAAGCGATTCTTATGCTCACTATTATCTGAGAACAAAAGGCCACAAAAGGAAAGAAAAGCAAATAAAACAATTAAACTCGAATATTTGGTTGAGCATTTTTATTCTGTCAGACATTTCTTAGAAATTGTCAGTGACAAAATGGACAAGGCACACTGCCTAGCCTCAGGGAATCTGGCAGAGGGTGATACGATAAATAAACAAGGAACTATAACTTAGGCAAGGAGTCCTGGTGTGGCACTGCATGATAATGTGCTGAACTGCAAGGTCAGTTTGAACCACAAGGTTGGCAGTTCAAGCCCACCAGCCGCTCCTCAGAAACCCTACACAGGGTGTCACTGAAGGTCAGAATGGATTCAACAGCACTCAACAACAACACAACTGAAGGTAGGCCAGTCGGAAAGAGGAATAATTTAGAATGAATCTTTAATAACTGTTAAGATTTCAAGGAGAAATGCAGGGTGCTGGAGGCAGAAGAAAGGGCCTGCATAAAGGCATGGAAGAGAGAAAGGGTAGGGTATGCTTGGGGAATAATGACGCGACAAGATTAGCTGGAAGGCTAGGCTAGGGTCAAACTGGAAAGTGTTATAACATACTAAGAGACTTCTGTAAGTTTGGTGGGCAACAGGAAATCATTGAAGGTATTGGCAAGAAAAAGAGCATACTGGCAGGAGCTCTGGTGGCTTTGTAGGGTAAGCACTGGATTGCTAACTGCAACTTTGGCAGTTGAAAACCACCAGTTGTGCCACAGAAGAAAGATAAGAGTTTCGGCTTCCATAAGGACTTACAGCTTCAGAAACCCTATACAGGGTTGCTATGAATTGGATTCCACTCCATGGCAGTGGGTTTGGCTTGGTATAACTTCTAGGATAAGGAAAGCAAGCTCACTCAAACCATGCCATCTTTTCCTTTGGGGTACACAGCTGAATTATACTTTCTAGACTTCCTTGCAATATATGGGCCATATCACTGAGGTATGACTAAGGGAAAATGAGATGTGGATGTGAGTACTGTTAGCCACTTCCTGACACCTAAAACCTCTGACATAATCTTCCCATAGGTCTTTCATTATCTCCCAACAAGATGTGGGAGAACCTGTGGAGGCCTTTAAGGCTCCCAAGGGAACCAGCAGGTGCATCTGGGTCTCTGAAAAACCACAAGGAAGGGATTGGAACCCTAGGGTTGTTACAGCTGTTAGCTTTTCCCAAGGAAGCAGATGGCTGGTGATGGTCTTTAATACATAGGAAGTCTTCTGCTGAGTCCTATTTGCAAAAAAGAACTTACTAAATATGGTAGAGTCCACATTTTTTCCTATAGTCACAGGTATATATGAGTTACTGTGAACTTCCTGTCTGACCCACCCCCCTGAAAAAAATTCCTAAACCTAGTTGGTTCCATTAACCTCTGCTGAAGAGCTGTAATTTTACACATGATAGAATTAAAAACCACTCCTGAGGCAATAGCATATGAAAAGGCATACACATTGATCATAATATACTTATACAATGCAATTAATAAGTGTCTAAGCGCATGAGTGTGAGGATTGTCCTGTTTGTAACTGAAGAAGCTGAATTTATGAAAAGGGGCTACATTATTAAACTGAAAGCATGTTTGCTGGACAAAAGACCTGATAGTGAAGTGGTAACGGGCTCTACCATGACAAGTTCTTTCAAATTCCTGAAGCCCAGTTAGGTGGAAGAGAGATTCCATTTGTACAAAGGGCAGACCAGAACTAAAGAGCATAATTTACATGCAGGAAAGTTTTAGCTCAGTTGAAAAACTCTCTAATTAAAGCATGTCCGGTTGTTGAGGTGGTGAATTTTCTGTTATTTTGGTGTTCAAGCAGAAGTCTGGGTAACTGGTCTGGATATTGTAAAGAAGATTCAGACATCAGATGCCTCCCTATTGTGGATCTCTAGCCTAGTTCTCCCGTCTGGGCTCCCTCCTTGTATCCAGTAGCATTTTTGATCAATTCCTTTCAGATGTCTCAAAGATACCTCAAATTCAACACTTTCAAGCTGAGAATTTGTTCTAATGAGTGATGCTATATAACCCATCCAGTTTTAAATGTCAGAATCTAGATGTCATTCTTACTGGTGCTTCTCTATCCTCTTTCCATTCCTTCCATATCATAGAAACTGAAGTGACCTATACCCTACTTTTGAATGATCACAGAGCCTCTCGAGTGATTTACTATGTTCACTCTGGCTCCTCATCCCATTCCTTCTCTAAAATGCAGTCAGAGCACTATTACATAAAATAAATCGAAATGAGTTATTCACTTTTAAAAAAACCCTTCAATGGCTTCTCTGTGGTCCCTTAACATGGCCTGCAGAAACCTGAACGCTCTGGCTTCACTTCACATCCTATGCCCCTCATATTCTGCTCTCCCAACAGAACGACCTTAGGTCTTCCAGTGTACTTACTGAAGCATTTGTGCATGTTGTTCCCCACAGCTACAAGGTTCTTTCTTTCCCTTTAAGCCTCTAAGTCTCAAACTCATGAATTATTTCCTCAGACAAGTCTCTCCTGACTTCCCTGACCCAGTATTGGCAATCCCACCAACTTTCTCTCTTAGAAATTGTAAGAATTCCATTTTTTATGTGTTTATGGGACTCTCTGATTAATCTGTGTCCTTCAGTAGATATATACTTGGTGGCTTGCTTTTGTCACCACTGAATTGCCAGTACCTAGCCCAGTCCCTGATACAGATTAACTACATAAAAGGTACTTGTTGAGCAAAATGAATAAAGCAATAATTGATCAGAATGGAAGTTGGATTAAATTACTAAAACATTTCTAACTAAATTCAAATCTGATTTAAATTTTATTGTAAGAAAAATCCACTTGAGGGGTGTTACGAGGAGGAAGACTGGACAAGACTACATAGCTGACACGTTGTGGGGGGATAAAAAAGCCAGCAATGACCAAAATGACCAAGACTGATATTTACATGAAAGGTGAGGCCCTCAACAACAGTGGAAAGGTACCACAATTAGATGTGTATTCAAGTATGCTGGAAATTTCGTACTTTCAAATATACTTAGCTATGTGAGCATCTATCCACCCTGTGCCATCCAGTCATTTGGAAGTACCCATCTGGAGTTAACAAAACACGGTTATCCTCTCTGTTTTGACAGCAGAAAGAAATGGAATTAAAATTTCAGACCTGTTGGAAAATTCTCAGACTCATCATTTGAACCTTTAGTGACCAAGTAGAATAAATCATAAGACTATTAATTCAGCTCCCAATATATATTTTCCTAGAACAAATAGCTAATGAGGTTACTGGAGGACTCTGAGATGTGGAAGGATTCTGTGGAAATTCAGTACTCTCATTTGTTGTTGTTGTTAAGTGCTTTTGAGTCAGTGCTGACTTATAGCGACCCTGTATAGAGTTTCCAGGGTTTTGTGGGAGCAGAAAGCCTCAACCTCAGACCTACTGGTTGCTAGTCCAGTGCTTATAGAAACCTTCTCTTTTCCCCTTTCAGTCCTGGAATCCATGGCCATAGATAGATCAATTTCCTTGACTGTTTTTCAAATTCTTTACACGCAGATTTCTACCACTCAATTTAAGTTGTTTTGAATAGATAAAACTATCAAGTATTGTGCTTACCCCCATCTGAGTCCAGCATAGCACATGGTTGCTGTTGGTGTTACTAAGTGCCTTGGAGTCTTTAGGGCTCATAGTGACCCTGTATAGGATTTCCAAAGCTTTAAATCTTCCACAGGAGCAGAAAGTCTTATCTTTTTCCCATGGAGCGGCTGGCAGGCTTGTACTGCAGACCTTGTGCTTCACAGTTCAATGCTTACCATATGATACCACTGAGCTCCCAGAGCACATGGTTGTTGTGAAGCGCCTTTGCGTAAGCTGTGACCCATAGCAACCCTGTACAGTGTTTCCGAGGAGGGATTGGTGAGCTCGAACTGCTGTCCTTAAAATTGAAAGAGACTTTGCAGTCCTGTGCATTAACCCACAGCGCCACCCACCAGGACTCCATAGCACATGGTGGACAACAAATAAATAGTCACAGTTGTGGATGATATACAAGAATTGAAAAGAGGATTTTGAGTGAATGGGAAGGAGTATTTTAAAAATCATACTGGCACAGTTCCAGCTATAATTCCCACAAAATGAGCATGTTAACTTGTTCATTATTATAAATAAAATACAAAATTTTAAATATCTTGAATTTGTAAAGAGAATTCGCTTGCTTAGCAGTGGATACCAGTAACTTTAAAGATAAACCTAAATCTGATACACTTTAAACATTGCATACAATTAGACGCTACTCTGAATCTTACAAAAGGATCCACAACAGGATTTTTAAAAATAATCTTCTACAGAGTATTTAAAATAAAACCTTTTTTTTTTTCAAAAAAAAAAGTACACATATCACTATACATTTTTTTCAAAGCCAAATATACCAAAAATCTACTATTTGCTATTGTTATGTGCCTTCAAGTCAATTTCGACTTATAGCAACCCTATATAGAGTTTCTGAGGAGAAGCTGATGGGTTTGAACCACCGACATTTTAGTTAGCAGTCCAGTGCTTGTCTATAGCGCCACCCCAGGACTTCATTCTCCTCTTTACTATCTCTCTATTTTAAACAGGCCACTTAAAGCTTATTATTATATTCAGCACACACCACTTTTAAAAACCTGTTTTACTTTAATAATTCTTTTTATAATAATATCAATTTAATAATTTTATTTATAATCACTAATTATTTCTATAAATATATACTACTCTATAGATCTACTATAATGCTGTTGTCGTT